AAGGGGCATAAATTCCCAGGGGGGGTGGTGCAGGGGTTTGGAAATTTTAAAATCACGTCTTAGTACTGCAAGGAGAAGGCTAGCCTTTCAGCCACTGTGTTGCCCAAATTGTTGGATCACGATTGAGGGGGTGGGGGAGCTTTTTTCACACAGAAGGTTTTTTTACTTTCATGCATAGAGATGCATGAAGGTAAAAAAAACCTTAGCTTTACAACCATTTTAAAGTGTTACTAAACCAGGGACCCTGCATTCACTATATCTGGTCTCCTCCTCAGTACACATACATGTAAATGCATTTTATTTTAGAAAATATAAACTGCTAAATACCAGGTGTCTGGTAATCCTTTGTGCAAGTTCAGGGGGTTACCTGATCCTATGTTCCAGGACCCTGAAACAAGATGCTCGAAGATCTCAAGGCCAGAAAAATGATCGTGCGAGTTGAAAATGTGGGTCACTCACTGGTGGGCACTGGTGACTTGTAGTATCATCACATCACTGGAGGGGTGGTGAGTATTAGTTCCACATTTTCAGATGTTATGGTTTTCATAACATGCACTGATAAACAGGTACATTATTCAATATTGTCATAGCAGCAACAGTTTGTTTCTATCTACTGGCGCGTCTCTCTAAAGTGTTACTAAACCCCGGACCCTGCATTTACTCTATCTGCTCTCCCAACGAGTACATAGAACATGGAAGTTAAGCAATTATTTTAGAAAGTAAAAACTGCTAAATACCTTTTTTCTCATCAGTTAGAGTAGTCTTGGGACTTCTATCAGTGTCCCAGCCGAGCACATGTCAAAGCTTGTAGGAGGAGTTTTCATTCTGTTCTAGGAGGATGCAGAAACCCCTACCCTGACTCTCTGGACAGTGCTGATTTAGGCCCTGTGCCTGATCACATGCCCTCTCCTAAGAAAAAAAAACCTCTCTAGCAATTACACACTAAAATGAGCATGTGCAGAGTAACTCCACACGAATATGTCTTATCAGGAGATAAGACGGAAGACACTGGAAGAAGGGGGTGAGGATCAGAGAAGTCATGGTCAAACAGCGCTTTTTACACAATACAGCGGATTTAACCCTGTAGGTTCCACAGCGAGTATTTATAACAAGTATTCTTTACTGCATATACAGATCTGATTTTACTGTTGTGGGTTTAGTATCACTTTAACAGCAACATTATTTTTTTTATTTTGGATAGAGTAAGGTGAGGGTTATATCCCTTGTCAGTTTTTTTTAGCTATCTGTGTCCCATTGGGGGAGATTTACATTCACTTGCTGTCTAATACCTAAAACAGGAAGTGAGAGGAAAATCCCTTTAAGTGTTACTAAACCCAGGACCCTGCAATGCAATTATTTTAGTAAATATAAACTGCTAAATACCTTTCTCATCAGCAGTTAGAGCAAGTCTTGTGACTTCTATCAGTGTCTGGCCCAACTATTTACTATCAGCAGATTGATTTGGGACAGTGGAAGAAGGGGAGGAGCAAAAAAGACAGGATCAAAAAGCCTTTTTACAGAATGCAGATAATTATCTCCTTAGGTTCCACAGTGAGTATAACAAGCATGCTGTACTGCATATACAGACTGATTTTACTGTTGTGGGTTTAGTAACACTTTAATGTGTGGGAATCCTCCTTAGTTGATCACCAGAACTAGTGCCCCCATTGAAATATTTCCCATCTCTTACTGTTCTGGGGACAACCCAAAATATGTGAATTTTCTTTACTTTCACTTTTGATAGTAACATTAAACAGGTCAAATGGAGTGAATCTTCCTAACAGGGGTATAAACTGCAGTAAAAACCCGACAGGTATTCTAATTCCTCTCTATCTAAAACGAAAAAAAAAAAGTATTTTTTTTTTGTCTTTAGTTATACTTATAGTGGTTGTAAAGGCTCAAAGTTTTTTACCTTCTTGCATTCTAAGGTAAGAAAAACCTGTGTGCAGCGCCCCCCCCTTCCCCCCTTCCTCAGTACCTACTGAGCCCTATCATGATCCAGCCATGTGCACAAGAGCCTCGGCTCTCTGGGGACTCTCCCTCCAAATTGGCTGAGACAGCATCAGGAGCCATCGGCAATCATAGCTGGTGAGCCAAAAAGTAGAGAGAGGAGGCGAGGCAAAGCTGCGGAGCTGGAACGAGCCTGCTTGGTAACCCCCATGGCAAACTGCTTGCTCTGAGGGCAGGAGGGAAAGGGACGGGAAACCGAAAATAGGAGGATCGCGGATGCTCTGTGCAGGTAACTGTACCATGTTTATTATTAAAAAATGCCTTTAATATCACTCTAAACCTAGATTCACACTATGAATGGCACAGGAAGTGTATTACATGTGATTCAGTGTGGTGTGATTTGAGCTCATTCATTGTGAATGAGCTCAAATCGCATCACACTAAAGTAGTGTATGCACAAACTTTAGAAATGCACTGCAGCTGGATCGCATGGTCATTTTGTACCATCCCATCTGGTGCAGGCAAACGCACCGTTGTCGGGGTGTCGTGTAAACATTGCACTGACACCTACTGCAGATCGCAAGGGCAGTGCAATAGGAATGCGGTTCACAAATTGCAGGTTTCCCACATTGCATTCTAGTGTGAACCCGGGCTTAAAGTAGAACTATAGGCAAAACTTGTTTTTCATTTTGGATAGAGCAATATATTATTCTGGACTGCATGTGTACCTCATCCCTAATATGCAATACAAAGAGAAACAAAACCTGATGGGACTTTACTGGTACATTAAGCGGACAACTTCATGTTGTACATTAAACATATTTATTGACATGCATCTTCCAAACACATTATATAAAAACAATACTTGGCTATTAAGCCCAAGAAATAACAGCATCATGTTCTATGGCATCAGTGTCCTCCTGAGGTTGACGCATTTCACTTGTTAGCTTCTTCAGGACCCCAAAACTAGAGGTGAGGAAACCAAACGCCTTAGCTGGAAGATGTTTTTATATATATATATATATATATATATATAAAAAAACATTCTCCGCAGACTCACATGCCAAATGTACCAGTAAAGTTCCATCAGGTTTTGTTTCTCTTTGTTTTGGATAGAGCAAGGAAGGATCTTTTTTCGATATCTGTGTCCTATTGTGGAGATTTCTCTGCACTACCTGTCTCATAGCCAAACAGGAAGTGAGTGTAAATCCCTACAAATTAAGGAAATTCCCAGGTCACCAGAACTAGTGCCCCCATGGGAAGATTTCCCCGCTATTATTTTTCTGGGGACAACCCAAAATTTGGATTTCTCTTTTACTTTCACTTTCAATAATAATGGTAAACAGGACAAATAGAGAGGGTGAATCTTCTTAACAGCGGCACACATAGCAATACAAATCTGGCAAGTGTTCTAATCCCTCTCCACTCTATCCAAAACTAAAAAAAAAGTTTGCCTTTACGGTACTTATATTTAAAGATGAATTTCAGACATTGTATTTTTTTTCATTGTTACATTTTGATACAGCTTGTAGAAATGTAACGGCATGTCCTAGATTGTAAACTCGAAAGAGCAGGGCCCTCGAAACCCCTCGTGTAGTGTTTTGTTACTGTCTTGTCTCATGTTATGTCCCCCTTGCTACTGTACAGCGCTGAGCATACCCTTTGGCGCTATATAAATACTGTATAATAATAATGATGTACGGGTCACAGTTGGCTGATTAGTGGAGCCCCTACAGGACATGGCCTCACTATCAGGACTACAAGCCGCTGCTTGACTTACAGGACCTTGTTGGTCCCATCATCATACAGTGAGTACTGGCAACCCGGTGTTGATATCTAGGTCATGTCGGCTGTGCAGGCTTGTACAAGCTGGACTGGTAACACACATTGAGGTTGCTGTGGCAGGTACTCGTACTACATTTTTGTGTCTAGTTCCACTGGCTGTGTCACTATCCATGTCCACACCATTCACACATTGGTTGGATATCATCTTGGAGGCTTTCCATTGCAGATTGCTGCAGTCCGCTAGTGTCTGGCTAACAGCCTGTCTGCACATTTGCAGGCTATATGTGGATCATCTCACATTGTTCACATGCATAGACTTCATCTCAGTGGACATAATTTGCTGGACATTATTAGCTAGGATTCTCTCCCTTTTTTTTTCTCCTTTGGATTGGCCAAACTACAATCATATTTACTTTTTTGTGCACTATTGACTTGATTTCCCAGGTTGGACTTCAGAGGCAATAGCCCTTTACACATGGTACAATTTTTTTCAGGTCTTTGATCAGCCAATTCTACCCTACAGTCATCTGGTATTTAGGCTGGCCCCTTGACTGCAGTTAATCATTATCCATAGGATTGTTTTATATTTGTCTTGCTCATGCAATGTATTGGTGAATGAGTTATTAGAAAAGGCGGGGTCTGGGGGGTTATAGTGGGCGAGTGTTACACCTCAGCTCCCTCCTTTCCTGTTGGGGGGGGGGGTTGGGTTGAGGAAGCTTCTTTTGGGAGCAGTGTTGAGGTTACCTTGGGAGGCATTTTGGGGGGATTTTTTCTGGGGGGTTGTTGCGAGGTGGTTGTGGTGTTGGGGGAGGTGGGTTGGTCTCTAGGGGTGGTGCGAGTGTAGTAGATACACCCTGGGGCATATTGGGTACCTTCTCTGGTATCATCTTGGGAGTGCCTGTTTTGGGAGGTTTTCCTCCCTATGTGAGGGGTAGGGGGTTTTATGGTTCAGAGTGTTTCCTGGATCCCCGATGCAATGTGTTTTTATTCTGTATGGTTTAATGATTTACAAAAAATTATGTCTTTGAGGTTAGCCTTTTATGTGTGTAGCCTATATTTTCTATTTCTTTGGTTTTTCCTTGTATTGTTCTAGGCAACATCCTACCAGGTATATCTGGAGGCAACTCACTCTATATTTAATTTTGGTGGACTCCCCAGCCTTTCTCTGCCCCTTTTTTGTATTGTGATAGGTATTCTCTCCTGGGGTTTTGTAGTGCAACGTATGGACCGCTACACCAGCAGCACAAGGCATGACGGTCGTTATGTGCAGCAGGGTCTAGATTGGTGGCCAGGATATTTGGAATTAGCTCGCCTTTTCATTTTTTGTAAAAAAAAGGTGACATTACCCTTTATAAAGACTCTACTCTACTCTATTACTATATAAGCCAGCAATGGGCAAACTACGGCCCAGCGGACCTTTTAATCCGGCCCGCGGAGCTAGGCTCCCGCTAGGCTCCTCTCACAGTCCGCCCTGAAGACCGGTGTAGCCTGAAAATCTGTCTCCTATGAGGATCTGTCCCCCTCGATGTATCTGCACATGTGCCGGAGATCGCCGATCGGCTGCTAATGCCTGAAACTGGCACATGTGCAGATACGTCGAGGGGGACAGATCCTCATAGGAGACAGATTTTCGTGCTACACCGGAGCGGCGCGGGAACACGGCGAGAGGAAACGCGCGGAGCAAAGGTAAGTGAATTGACACAGGGGGGACTTGGGGACTTAATATGGGGGATGAATTAATATGGGGATGAATTAATATGGGGAATGAATTACTATATGGGGGATGAATTACTATATGGGGGATGAATTACTATAGGGGGGATGAATTACTATAGGGGGATGAATTACTATGGGGGATGAATTACTATATGGGGGATGAATTACTATATGGGGGGGTGAATTACTATATGGGGGATGAATTACTATGGGGGATGAATTACTATATGGGGGATGAATTACTATATGGGGGATGAATTACTATGGGGGGATGAATTACTATAGGGGGGATGAATTTACTATATAGGGGGATGAATTACTATATATGGGGGATGAATTACTATGGGGGATGAATTACTATATGGGGGATGAATTACTATGGGGGGAATGAATTACTATATGGGGGATGAATTACTATAGGGGGATGAATTACTATGGGGGATGAATTACTATATGGGGGATGAATTACTATATGGGGGATGAATTACTATGGGGGATGAATTACTATATGGGGGATGAATTACTATATGGGGGATTAATTACTATGCTTACTATGGGGGAATATTACTATACTTACTATGGATGACACATACACATCATTCATCTACTCTTGGTCCGGCCCCCGGGTCCAATATATGAACCCATTGCGGCCCTCAAGTCAAAAAGTTTGCCCACCCCTGATATAAGCCTATATAAGCCTCTCTTGTGTAGACATTCAAAATCCTGGAGACTGCTACCGAGTTCCACAATCTTGGATGTGATGTCAGCAGCTCCAGCAGACTTAAAGCTGTCACTCAAATGACAAGCCAACTTAAATGTCATTGAACCTTCCAGTATGACATCCATACATATGTTTTGGGAGAACATTTCATTATTTGCTTGTTTCAAGTATAATTAAGTGTTTTTTAGACAGACTACTTAATTAGGGCTAAAAAAAGACCCTGTCACCAGACAATTCATTTTAATAAACAAATTTTAATAAGATTTAATTCATTTAGTTAATTTAATTTATTTAGTGAATTTAGATGTAGATTATTTAGTGTATTTATTTTAAATTTTTAAATTAAAATAACAAACATGTTATACTCACCTGCTCTGCATAATGGAATTACACAAAGCAGCCTCAACCCTCCTCTTCTGGGGTGCCCTGTTGGTGATCTTGGCTCCT